ACGACGCTCACCATCTAACTAGGAAAACAAGCATTAAGTAGATTATTAGATCTATTTCAATTGTGGATGTGCAAAGTGGCTTAAAGCACATGATATGGGGATTGACCCTCCATTGGGGGATCAGAAAACCTCACTGAAGATCTGCTAACCTACACCCGAAGTATGGAATTAGCAAGGGAAACACGGATGGGAGGGTGGAGAGAGAATTATATCTTCCAGGAAACAGAAGTCCAATTCAGCTATAGCTAAGCACATGGGAGGAGGGCATGGAATAAGGTAGAAACCTTCACGTAACTTTCCCTCACTGCTCCAGCGAACTCATGGCTCTGCTTTCAGTGTCTTTTCATGCTGATTGTCTTTACATACTTTATTATGTACTTCTTGAGGTAGAAATCTAACCAGGACCAAAGGAGGTATTTCAAGTTGGGCATAGTGACAGGTGTCCCATGGCTTAACAAGGCCTGGTGAGGCAAGACAGAAATCAACCTGTGAGCATCAGAACTGACTATTCAGAGGCACGAGGGTCCTCAGCCAATTTCAGTGGGTGGTGAGGAAGAAGTGATTGGATTGAAGCATGAAAAAATCTTTGACCTAGAAATTCCAATTCTAGCTAGCTAGCCTACAGGAATTCTAATATTATATTTGCACAAAGAGTATGTATTGCAGTAATGTTTGTAATAGCAAAATATTGGAACTAATCCAAATATCTAATAATAACTGGTCGGGCTTCCCTGGTGGCGCAGTGGTTGAGAGTCCGCCTGCCGATGCAGGGGACACGGGGTTGTGGCCCGGTCCGGGAAGATCCCACATGCCGCGGAGCAGCTGGGCCCGTGAGCCATGGCTGCTGAGCCTGCGCGTCCGGAGCCTGTACTCCGGACGCGCAGGCTCAGCAGCCATGGCTCACGGGCCCAGCTGCTCCGCGGCATGTGGGATCTTCCCGGACCGGGGCACAAACCCGCGTCCCCTGCATCGGCCGGGGGGGGGGGGGGGGGCATATAGCTGTGAATAAGATAGGTGAAGTCCTTATTCTCACGGGACTTGCAATTGGGGAGACAGAAAAGCTAACAAATCTCAGATAACGATTAGAAGTACAAGTGTCCTTTTTCATCTGAATCTATTTGGTTCCTGAGTTCAGGTGGCAGGAATTTGGACAGTGAGCGATACCTGTTTTAGAAGAAAAAATTAAGCATGGTAATATGATGCATAGTAAATTAGAGGGAGGTGCTAAGACACCTTTTCTGAGACGGCGATGCTGGACCTGAGACCTAAACATGGTTTAGGTTGACTGGTTGTCAACCATGTCGCGATCCCAAGGCCCAGGGTGGTAACAGGCTTGATATATTCAGGCAAGGTCAGCATGGCCAGAGCCCAGTGAGTGATGGGGGAGTTTGAATCTTGTTCCTAGTACAGTGAGGTGCTATGGGTTTTAGGCAATGGGTGTCTTATGGTTCAGCTGTACTCTGGGGTGCTATGAAGCAATTCAAAGAAATAAGGTGAAATTATACATAGCACTAAGGAAAGACTTCCAAGGTACATAGCTAAATGTGAAAAGCAGGATGTAGAACAATTTATATGATATTTCACAAAACAAGACTCTGTGTGTGTGTGTGTGTGTGTGTGTGTGTGTGTGTGTGTGTGTGTGTAACATGGAAAGGGACTGTTAAGTGTATACACCAAACTGTTAAGAATGGTTATTTGTAGGGAGTTTGTGGGATTGGTGATGGGGGTGAAGGAGGGCTATCACTTTTTATTCCCTGCTGTATTTGGGTTTTGTACCAAAGGAAGCACATGGACAGTGAGGAATTGGTGATTGTATAGGAAAGGCTTGGCTTTGAAGGGAACAAGAAGAAAACTAAGTAGGCTTACAGGACTGCGGGACACATTGCCCCTCATGACTTTCCTGCCTGCCGTATTAGATTCTCTATAAAATTATGTAACAACTAGTATATTTAACCCAACATTGCCGCCTCAGGATATCACACGTGTGATCACCATTTGTGATAGACCCTATAGTAGGTTCCCAGTTTTGCTATGGGAACATTTG